AATTATTATAGTTTAACTGTACTACTTAATTTTTAGAATTTTTAGGCCATGGAAAGTAATGAATATTGTAACTATTACAATTATGTTAAAAAGATGTTTAACACACTTACGACATGGTATATTGGTTTAGGTCTATGAAGATCTATTTATTTGTGCTTACACAAAATCCATAAAATATCCACAAAACTCGACCATTGCTAAGTTTTCGTTTTGGAAAGATGATAATGTATACACGATAAACTCTAAACTTTTGTTTTTTTATATGTATATTTTAAGTAACAGTTATTTTTTATATACACGTAAAGTAACAGTGGTAATAACTTACCATAATAATTAATTATTTGAATGTTCCAGTCAAGTATGATTGATTACATAATTAAGTACTTATTTTTTTATATACATAATTATTTTAACTCGTATAATAAGCCACAAAATAAGTGACAATTACAATGTTTATTTGATGTGTTTTTCTATATAAATGATACCATTCAATAATTATACTAAAAACAGCAACATTCCTGTAGACATTAGGAACCGTCTCAGAATTCTAGGCACCTTGTCTCAGGGTAATAATGTTTGATTCATTACACCAAGAGTCCTCATTATGCCAAGGCTTCACAAAAAGCAAATAATGTAATTAAAATATTTTAGATTTTCATAAGCAAATAAAACAATTTTTTTTTAAATTAAGTAGGTACATACAATTAAATTTAATATTTAGTTACTAACAATCAATCAAATTGTAAAGAGAATTATTACATTATTCAATTAAATAAAAAGATTGATAAGACAAATTGCATGTTTAAGAATATTTGCAGCGTTTGGTGTATTTACACGCTTTAATGTGTATACATGTGACCAAATTATGTTCAAAAAATGTCTGGAATTATTTGTTGAAAATTAAAGGTTTACCAATTATTTACTTTAACGTTACATTTAAATACATATAAATTGACGTAGCCATTGTCACGCGCAAAAAAATTTGGGTTTTATACAGATTACATGAGTTTTTAGTCACTGTCAAAAGCAACATAACCATTAGGAATGGTCTCAGAATTTTAGGCGCCTTATCTCAAGGTCATCAGTTTTAATTTAGTTAGTTTTTTCTTCTTATTGCAGCTTTATTTGCCTCAGACTGTGGGATATTTTTACCTAGTGTTGGCTCTGGAAAATACTTTTTAGAAAAAAGAAATTAATATTTAATTTTTTTTACATATTATTGCTTGTACCTAACACAAATTTTGTCTGAGTTGATGATATGGACGAATTTTTGGGAGTATACTAATAGGGTATCCGCGAAGAACGACGTGGTGTCTTTTTACACTTGTTTTACAATAAAAACTAGTCAATTGACCATAGAACCAACAAATATCAGAATTTTAGGCACATTGTCTAAGGCACTCATAATATTTAATTTAGTCCTTTTTTATAGCAACTTTATCTACCTCACAGAACTGTAATTAGTGGTGATCACAATAGATCAGCTAGTGGTTGCAGTGAAGAGGCTACATAGGCCCTGAATGAAGTGAAGTCACCATACCAACAATAATATTATAAATTAAATAAATTGTTTCACAGTCAGTGTTTACAACTAAAACACCTATAGTTCCACTGAAGAATGTTTAGACAAAAATGGTTTGATAAGGAATGTGGGAAAAACAGTGTGGTATTGTTGAATTTACCGGTAAATGTATTATTCAAGCGTTACATGATTTTGATTTTAATTCGTTTGTAATTATGCGTCGACTTTCATAGAGGAGTTTTTGTCAAAGGGTGACGTATACTTTGCGATTCCGATGTCGGTTGCGTCTGGCAAACGTTGCCAGACGTCGCCGACAAGTGCAATTCGTATTTGTAAATTAGTTAATTTACTTTTTATACTATATTTATATTTTTTTATATCACATGGGTCATAGCTGCAGTATTAAATAAATATAAACGCAAAATAAATTAAAATAAATGATTATGTAAATCTTCCAGAGACACTGAATCATTTTTAGATTGTTTATTATTAGTTTTATTTACAGGACTTGCCAAATCAAACAAAAGGTCACTGGCGGCTTAGTAAGAGTTAACCATTTTATTGTGGGCCTCTCTGTAGTAACCCTATTGTAAGGGTTTGTGAGGTTTTGGTTTGGGCATCATTGATTTTTTATGAGGATTATTTGAAGCTCTCTGCTGGAGATGGCAACTGCTATATAAGATAACTTAGAAGGCAGAATATTTTTCAAAGAATTTTGGGATACATGTACTTTAATATTGTGCTGGCTCATAAACTAGGTAAGATTTGCTAGATGCCATGTAGAGCTAGAACAAATTTTATTTACATAGAAAATAATCAACTGAGCTAAGTTTACTATTATGGCTCTGCGCAGATTTCAAAAATCTAGAACGTAGGTCCCCAAACTTTTTGGCTTAGGCTTAATAAAAAAATTACAAAGCCAACCACCACAAAAAATAAGTGCGAACACGTATTTTTTTATATTAACTTGACACAAAAATCACAATCTATATGTGTAATGTAGTTTATATAGATAATTCAGGTTTTTTTTTCAAATGTGGAAGCACCACTTGGACAACAATCAACACTGCCGATATATCCGAGGGCACACTACCCTAGGACTCCTCAGCGCCCACTGAGGGGCGGTAGGAACCACTTTGGATAACTATGATGTAGAAGAATTCCTACAAGAATTCCTAGAGTGACAAAAACGATGGACAGAAAGCACTAAATTGTTGTCAAAATATACTCTTCAACAGGCAGATGGACAAAAAAAAAAACATTATTATTTTCGTGACTGGAGCAACCAAACCAGTAGATATCTTCTTATTCTTATAAGATCTTCCAGTCTTAATAATCAGTTAAAAAACAAGACGGAATCTTATTGTTTTTAATTCTCATCACTCAACTGTTACTGTCCTTTAAAATCTCTGAAATGGGTATTCCCATTTCAGAGATTTTAAAGGACATAATTTATGTTTATGAGAATTTGCCGTGGCCCCATTTTGGCCAAAGCATTCACCTCCATTTAGAAAGAAAAAGCGATGAAAAACAATTGCGTCAACTTTTTAACACTTAAGACTTAAATCCAACTCTATGCCCGTTACGATAGAACGGTCCAAAGTACAAAGTGTCAAGCTTGATGGGCTCTTGACTGCACAAAAAATGAAAAAATTGTAGAGGATGTAGAACTGCATCATGTTTCCGATCCCTCTCAATAATCTAATGAATGATGAATGTTGAACAACAAAAAGGAAACAAAATCCATTTTAACTATGTATATTATACATTTTGATAGATGGGCCATTCCAAAGTGCCGGGTGGGACATTTCGACTCCTTTTTTCTCGTTAGTAAGCAAATATTTTATAATTTTCGTCTCATTAAGACATTTTAACATAAATAAAAACAGAATTAAAGAACTGATAAAGTAATCGTATTATTTTTCCTGAAACACCATCTATGACGACATGAAATCAAAGTCACGCATGCAAAATTCATTAATAAATTTGAAAAATCCTGCTGCATCCTTGAAGATTATGTATCATATCAAAATATATCATATTTTACAAGTTTTGCTTGAATACATAGTTCAAACTAGTGGAGACAGACTTCATGAATTTCCTGATACTAAAAATCATCAGGAAAAATGTTGTCACCTTTTAATTGTCTTTTTTATGTGTATAATGCCTTAATTATGAGAAATATTATAAAAAATTGCTTACAAATGATGGATCAACAGATAAACAGTGAATTTTTTAAAATTCTAGGTATTCAAATGTAACTTGTCCCACCTCATGTCACATGGTGTCCCAATCATCACAATTTAACACATCAAATGTTAAACTCTGAAATTAAAGCAACTGTTACACCCAATAAACATTGTAAAAACTCGAATCCATGAAAATACAAACATTTATTATTCAAAGTAAAAACGTTTAGAAGTGTGTCCCACCCATCACTGTGACCGGTGGGACACACTATCAAATCTTAATACTTACATTCCTATTTATGTACACAATGACCAACCAAGCCAAAATAATGACCCTTAGCATAATTGTTACTTTTACAAAAGCAAATGCCAATAGATTGCATATTTATTGGTTAAAATAAAAATATATATGTTTCATTGTGAAGGGTGGGACTTAAAATTAGTATTTATTGAAACTTTAATAACTCCTCACCATGTACATTATCACTTATCACTGTTTTAAAATTCGTAAATTGAATTTTCTTCGACAGTAATAACTTTTTTAAAAAGACGCACAAATATCCGCAGCAATTGTTGTTAACATTATATGAAAAAATGTTTCTCTATAGACGACGGCACTATAGTTGCAATAATGAAGACAAAAAATACAATAATTGTACAATATCCGAAAAATCTCATTTATTTCTAATGATTTGATTTATTGGGCGTATTCTGGTCATACAATTAAAACCAAATTGTGTCATTTATTTTTTTGAACTGCAGTGTCATTTTCGCTGGAATGTCCCAGATAACACTATTTTCATCTGCACTTGTATGGTGTTAGCAGTTGCAGCCAGCTTATCAATTCTGTTCTCATTGAAATCAATGGTAAAAAAAGTCAAAGGGAGGGTTCATTGACATGTATTATATTATATTAGTTCTATCCTAGATGAAAGTTCTATTCTAGAGAAAATGTACAAAATTTACAAAACATCTACAAATAATATATAGAAAACCAATAATTACATTTTTAGATTGTCACTTTCCCACCGATAAAAAACCTTTCTTCTTGCCTTATTTTTTCATGCTATGTATATTTTGCTCAGTATGTACCAAGATTTAAATATTTAGTTGAAAATTTCATGCTTGAATTGGTGCTCAATGTAACATACAGCCTTCTTACAAACATTTGGTATATTCTATAGATAAATAATTCAGCTAAGCACAATTTCATACGTCATATTTTATGTAAGTATATAACTGAATTTTTTTACAAAGCTGACAAATAATAAAAATAAAATATAACTTACCGCAAAAGGCCATACTTTTGGCATGAGAAAGGGGTACGTATCAACAGTCTTACTAGCTCCGAAAACAGAGCCAACCATTAAAATTAAAAAACCAGCGTATATTAACATATTTGAATTTTTAAAGACGTAAATTGAGAAATCAAACAGAATAACTTTTGCAGTTTTCGCACGCGACTTTCCTACACAAGACACGTTATAATACTGATAATTCGATTACTGGTTATCTAAAAGGCGTTAATTGAACTGCCGCGTTGGGTAAATACTAAGTTTTATTGATGCTACAAGTGTTTGTATTATTTTCACGAAAACGAATCCTACGATCGATACGCTACGCGAACGTCATTTCTGAGTTACCAGTTTCGAAATTACTGCGTTAGCTTACATACAGTCTTGTTCACAATGTGGTCAATCTTCATAATTTCTGTGTTATTTTCATAAAATTAAATGTAAATAAAATAGTATTTTTACTATAATTACTCTTCATACCCATCGATTAGAGTGAAAGAAAAAGACACAGTAACGTTTTTACCTGTCCTGAATTTGTTTTAATAATACTTTGGTCTATATAAATTACAGTAGTAAATTGTGAATTTAAGAGGCCCAATTTGACAACCAAGGAAGACAACAATATGTAACTTTGAATGCAATAAACGAAATAGTCAACAATTATTATTAACTTATTGAGTTTAAAAATAACAACATTGATTTTAGTGAAGCTTTATATAACATGATAAAACAAATTTCACACATTTTAAAATAAAATGCTATTTTAAGTTAATTCGAAACGCTATAAAACAGTTAGGTACGTCCTTAGTCTTATTTTTTTAAATAATAGTGTTGTAAACGATAAAATTAATCGCTAAACTTCCCCAAGTCAATTTCATTTCTCTTAAAAAAGTATTGACCTTTTAATTTTGATTTTGACAAAGATGTTAACATTGATATTTCATTATGATTGAAAATCAAGTATATAATTATAAATACAGTTGATACTATCTCTACTCTGTTGATGTAGGTTCATTTTCCAAAGAAACTGAATAAAAATGTAAACTAGTCTTTTCTTGTTTTTCTTCAGAAGTTTACTATTGAACTACAGGTTGTCATTGTGATCATTAGACTACTTACTTATTATTTATATTAAACTTTATATTGCTTAAATAAATGTTAATAAAATAAAACCCAATGACCCGTAAAATAATCTAAACCACCACAGACTCATAAAATTTGGAATCGATTTCTCGTGAGGATCGTCTAATGTGGTCATCGATACGCTAAACGTGTCCACATCCTTATTTACGTCGCTTTAACAAGTGTACAAACGGTTAAACTAAAAAAAAACTTATTTTGTGACAACTAAATATAACACGATTTTATTTAACTGCCTCCGTGGCCGAATGGTTACCATGCCGGACTACCACGCAGAGGTCCCAGGTTCGATTTCCGGGCCGGAAGAAATATTTGTATGGCCTACATTTATTTCTCTCGTGAGTTTGGGTGTAATTTGTGGTTGTCTATGTATGTGTCCATTGCACCCGCGATACAGGGTTTGCGTAGTGCGGGGCTATGTCGAGTGTGTGCGGTATTATTATTATTATATTATTGCATTATTATTTATAAAAGTTAATGTTAGTGAATAATAAAAATACGTATATAAAGAAATACAAAGTCGTTGAAAGACCAAGTACAAAGACACGACGCAAGCACATAGAGAAATTCGTGAGGTCCGTTGGTTCCTTCCGTGGCTTAATTGGTATAGTCTGGCACGGTATGCAAGAAGACTTTGGTTCGAATCCGACCGGATCGAAGTATTTTTTTCTGAGTGTTCGATCTTTGTATTAATAATTATTATAACAAACTAGTGGAATAATTTCACAAAAAAAATTGAATATCAATTCAATAAAAATTTTATTAAAGAAATATAATTTTAAAATATAAAACCAAATAAGCAACACAACTGATATACTTACGATTTATTCAACACAACCTGATGAACTTATTGCGGTTATTATTATGCAGGAATTTTTTTTTAATTACTTGCAACACTGTAACGTTCAGAAATTATTATGGTTGTCAATGTCGTTTTGTCATGTTTTTGAACGATATACTAGGCGACATGTGAAATAGTACATGACATGCTTACTAGATGTCGCTTTGATTAAAACTTAATATTCTGGAAGTATTAATTGAATTTTCAGTATAAATTTATTTCAAATTTGAAGTTTGAGAAAGTCGTCTACAGATGTCATACAAAAAGAAGAAAGATTCACGATAAGGACGTAAAAATTGAAGTTACTAATAACACGCCCAAGTTATTCCCTATTATAAATAAGTATAATAATATAGACCAAGTTGAGAAAAATAACGATGACAAATTTGTAACAGTGAAACGAGCTAAAGTGTCTAATGCAAGTTACATGTACGAATGCAATGTCTCAAAACGATTTGCCCCCTCTTCGTGAAAAATGTTATTTTGTAGAGTAAAATAAATTGAATCCGTCTGGACAACCGAACACGATGCCATTTGCGGCTTTATTTAAGTTTCCACTGTCATTGTGAATGCAACAGAAAAATATTTTCTTACAAAGTCATAATTTTATTTTACGATAAACAATTTATTGAGAAATACGAACTATGTCTAAGTTATTGACAAGTTTTTCCTACTTCATTGAAAAAATTCCGTAGTTTGTTTACTTGAAGATTTTTAAAGATTTTAATTCAAATTTAACGAAAACCAGTGCTTGTTCGAAAATATATATTAATGGAGCTTTGCGAAATTAAAACTAAATCAATTTTCCTGTTATAAATCACAATAACGCCAAATTGCTTTTTATTTTCAAAAGGCCCCAGTTAAGATTAGGGAATTATTATTTTTATTTAGATATAAAACATTAAAATCTCTTTGAAACATTTATGTAGAGAACCCATTTTCTAATTTCTTACATATTGTAACAAAGGCTGGGTCAAGATAATAAAGGGGTGGGAATGTATGATCGATTGTAACCGGGGGTTGTATCACAAATTGACGTTTATTGACGGTCTATAAATATTCTATTTGTTCTATTGTAAAGGGGCTGGCCATATCGTGCTTTTGTGCCACTTGAGTAGTTTTGTCAAAAAGTAATATGTGCCGAGATTATTTATTATACTTGAGAAAGAACGCATTTTCTCTTTAAAAAGAAAATTAACGTTGATACCTAAATGCATTCATTCAATTTCAATTCAATTTCATTCACTCATTACTATTATTGTTTTTTGTTCTAATTTCAAGGTCCAGAAGTTAATTTTTCACATTTCCTATTGTTCACGTTCACGTGACAAGAACAGACAACCTGACCAGATATAAATTACCACGTGACGATAATATACTACTCTGCAGTGCACTGAACGTATAGCAATGTACAAGACCAGGGTGCTGAGTAAACGTTTCCTTTATTTTTTACTTTTAAAAATTATATTGTAGATATACACGCATACATGTAAATAAAATTTGTATAAATAGTGTAGTTTTTAGAAATAAAGCTGTCTTTGAATCCGGACATCAACGCTGTCTCATTGACGACGACGGAACTCTCCTGACTACAGCATCCTCTCACTGCGCCAAGACACCTTTATCTTTATCTGATCAGTCTTGTGAGTCTGTGAGACTGGTAGTGAGAAAATCCACTCCTTGCAACCCTTGTCCTTCCCACCTTCCGTCTGTTACCTTAGGTCGCATGGTAACAGGCTTCATCTACCTATCTATATACGTATATATAGTAGTGCATGGTTAGGGCTAGGCTGTTAGGTAGGAACGTAGGGTTGTTTGTGATAGGTTACAGCTTTCCCTTACCATTTCATGTATGGCCAGCTAGCTTAAATTGTGTAATTTACAAGACGATACTCAACAGTAACACTCGTATCACACCCAACAAATACTACACAAAGACAGAGATAAAGTTAGTTGGCTCTACACCTATTATTAGGTACAATAAAATACAAATTTGACGAAATAAAGAAACTTATAGGCTCAACTCACACTGGCGCAGAAGCGTCGCGTCGCGTCCTGTTTTTCTCGTCGCTGCGTCACTTGGGCGCCGTGAGGCGTCAGACGCCAACCACACTGTGATCCCGGCGCACTAATGCGAGCGTCGTCGCGCGAAATCGCTCGAATGTTACCAAGCGTTGACGCTCGGTTTCATATTTGCAAAACACAAATTTCTACCTTAATTAAGGGAAAATAGAGAGATGAATATGCTATAGGCGAAAAACATGACGCGTCGCTACGCTTCGACTCTACGCCAGTGTGTGTTGAGCCTAAGAGTACTGAAGAACTCATGGAACATACGGAAAATATTATTTTTTACTACTGTATTTTAATCTGTCAATAAATAAAATTATAATTTCATGTACCATATCACAATCACCACAAGGGTGCACTTTTTAGCCCTGAACCAAAATTCTATTGTCTGTGGTACTCTGCTACTGAACTGAAAAATTTCATTAGAGTTTTTCTGCATACAGAACTATAATGAGTTTCGAGAAAAGAACGTCACAGTTTTGCTAATTAGAGTCTCCTTAAACATTAGAGGATAGAAAAAAAACCTTAAACGCGTCACTGTGTTAAAAGCACATACGCAAACCGCGAAGTGCCAGAAACAAAAGAAATTATTAATTTATTTTATAATTATATAAAAATTATTTTATTTTATAATATTTCAAAATGTTGCATAACAGGTACAAAGGCGTAACGCATTGACTTACAATTATATGGACGACGGGTCTAATACAAAAACCACGAAAAAAATGTCCCAAGTCAACCTATTTAAACGTAGTGATATGTCAAGGAATATGAAAAAGCTAAAACGTTGAATTTAAATTGTAATGTCATCGCAGTACTGTCTAATTTTGCTTGCTTCGCTGTCAGTTGAACAAACGAAGACTAGAGCGTGAATGACGCTCTGTATACGATTTTAACGCCCTATAAGTTCGGACACTTTTTAGCGCGGACCCGACGTCCATATAATTGTAAGTCAATGGCGTAACCATTGGGCAAAGAAGAACAATTAAAAACAAACTCTACTGCTTCCTGATTGGTTAAAACATAAGCGGTACTACCTGGTTTTTGTTATTTTTATTAGTTATTGTTATTAGTTGAAAAAGTATTGTATGCAACCCTTACACAATTAGGTCTCAATATCACGTACCTTTTACTTAGGTCTCTCGGAAGTCTTGTGGTCAGAACACGGCACTCAACTTTAAGAACCCTCATTATGCAACGACTGCACAAAGTACT